CGTATTTTATATTTGTTTTTATTTATAGTGTCTTTGTACCTCAATTTTACTTTGCTGTATTTTAATCTTGTATTCTGTGTTTTTGATCATATTGTTTACTGTCTGTTTTATGTATTTCGCTGTGTCTTATTGACCTGTACAGCACTTTGGTCAGCTTCGGTTGTTTTTAAAGTGCTCTATAAATAAAGTTTGAGTTGAGTTGATTTGAGTTGAGTTGAGTACAGAGGAGCCAAGTCAGGAAACGTCAGGAGGCCGACACAGCAGCAAGCACTGCTGCAGACCACTATCTGGCTGAGCTGAGCGCACACCACGAGGCAGAGAAACCCTAGACAGAGCCAGTCACAGCCTCCAGTGCAGGTGGTCCCCCTACTGAGGAAAAGATGAACTAAATCAGCTAAAAACCTCAAACTAGATAAAATTATAAGATACTGATAAATAGCTAAAATACCATTTAAAAAATAAGTAAATAAATAAATATAATAAACATAACGTAAAATGAGGACTAAAATATATAAATGAACTAAAATAAGATAAAAATATAGATTAAAAATAAGACATTAGTTTAAAGCCAAATTAAATAGGTGAGTCTTGAGCCTGCTCTTAAAAATATGAACACTCTCTGCGGCCCTAAGGTCCACCAGCAGGCTATTCCAAAGACGGGGGCCATAGTGCTGGAAAGATGCCTCACCGTAAGTTCGTGTTCTCACTTTGGGGACTATTAAAAGGCCAGTGCCAGAGGATCTCAGGGTCCACGAGGGTTCATATTGTAAAAGCAATTCTGAAAGATAAGAAGGTCCATGACCCCTAAGACATTTAAAAACCATTAAAAGGACCTTAAAATCAATCCTAAAGCACACAGGGAGCCAATGCAGTGATTTTAAAACCGGTGTAATGTGTGCCCGTCTTCTGGTCTTTGTCAGCACCATAGACTGTATATACTATGGACAACCTGGTTCCGCCTACCGCCTGTATACGAATTTGAAGCCAAAAAGCTCTCGGTATTTCTGGGATTTTTCTTCATTTCCTGAAACCAGCGCTGTGCAGTAGCGTTGTGCGCATTCGGCCGCGCAGTCGCAGAGAGTCACTGTGATGACGCTCGGCTCAAACAGCGTATCCCCCGGGAGAGCTACTCAATCCCTGAACGCCCATAGGCTGTATCAGGTGTCAATCATAGCAAACATGAACCCCCTAATAACTTTTAAAAATGGAGCTTCACAGAAAAAAGAGGACTTAAGCATAAACCAGTCTTACAATAACTACATGTCAGCATCACAAGCAGGGGGGAAAAAAAATTATGTTCTGTGTAATAAATTTCTAAAGTTGGTCCACAGCCCCATAAGCTTTGCTGGCGGAGGCGGGATTTATGACCTATACTGCAGCCCATCAACAGAGGGTGCTGTTCTCGGAGTGGCTTCACCCCGCAAGGAGGCAGACGGTGTCCATTCTATATACAGTCTATGGTCAGCACACGTGCTGCTGAGTTTTTCAACTGTTGTAAACTCGCAATGTTTCTTTTTGGAAGACCAGAAAGCAGGGTGTTACAATAGTCAAGACGACTGGAAATAAAAGCATGCATCAGCGTCTCTGTGTTAGCCCGGGAGAGAAAGGGGCGGACTCTGGCTATATTCTTTAAATGATAAAACCCTGTTTTTGCTATATTTTTAATATGTGGAATAAAAGTCAGCTCAGAGTCAAAGATGAAGCCTAGATTCTTTACCTGATTTGATGGAATTAAAGACAGGGTTTTCAGTTTTGTTAAAAGTTTCTCTCCCTGAGCCTTAATCGATAATTAAAACCTCAGTTTTGTACTGGTTGAGCTGTAGGAAGTTTTCTGCTATCCAGGATTTAATGTCTCGGATACAGCTAAAAAGGGCATCAATTGGCCCTGTGTCATCAGGAGACATGGATATGTAGAGCTGTGTGTCATCAGCATAGCTGTAAAAAGTGATACCATGCCTCCTGATGAGATCTCCCAGTGGGAGCATATATAAATTAAAAAGTATGGGGCCTAAAATTGAGCCTTGGGGCACACCACATTTAATGCTATGAATCCCTGAAGAGCACGTGTCCAAACTTACAAGAAACTTTCGATCTGTGAGATAGGAGTTAAACCATTTAAAGGTAGTACCAGAGAGGTCTACAAGGTGCCTTAGTCTATTTAAAAGAATTGTGTGATCTACTGTATCAAAAGCAGCGCTTAGATCCAGCAGCACAAGGACTGTAAGCTTGTGTGAGTCCAAGTTGCACCTAAGATCATTAACAATTTTCAGTAGTGCAGTCTCAGTACTCTTTTACCATTGAGTCAGATGGATTGTCTTTGTGTAAATTAAAATCACCAGATATAATAATAAAATTGTAAGTGACATGGATTATTGCTAAAAATTCAGAAAATTCACTGATAAAAGCAATATCATGTTTTGGTGGTCTGTAAACAGTTATACACAGAATCGAGGGACTGTTAAAAACAACCGCATGATGTTCAAAGGTGGTGTACTGATCAAATTGTATTTCTTTTTTCCTTAGTGAGTTATTGATTATTGATGCAGTACCACCACCTTTCCTGCCACTTCTAAAAGAGAACGCAAAGTTAAAATTAGGTGGGGAGGCCTCAGTGAGAATAACTGGCGCATCTGTACCCAGCCACGTTTCAGTTAAAAACAGACAATCAACCTCGTTGTCTAAAATCAGGTCATGGACAATAAAAGATTTGTTTAAAAGAGAGCGAATGTTTAAAAGTGCCATGTTGATGTTGACGGGTGATTTACAGACTGTGTGGTTCGATTGTTGATGTTTTGGGAGAGGTCGGGGGTTTTGAAGTTCACAGAGTGTACATGATGGAGTCTGGCTGTCTCTCACTGAGTGATGATGACAGGAATGGGTGAATGGTTAATGAAAACAGAGGGTCCAAGTCCTGGGGGACATCAATCAGTGGCGGAAAGGTCAGTCGGTGCATGTTTGGGGTGATGGGAGGAAAGTGAGAGTTGACTATGTTGTAGATCGTATGCCAGTTTGGCGGCCAGCACGCGGGTGCCAGGTCTATTAAGATGAAAACCATCCGAGCCAAAGGATGTCTCCTCTCCCAAAAAGCATCGAAATTGTCAACAAAGTCGACATTGTGGGTACTGCAGGCTGATGAGAGCCAGGTGTTCAGGCTGAGCAGCCTGCTAAAGTGCCCAATACCTCTGCCACAGGTGGGGGTGGGGCCGGAGAAGAAAAACGGGCAGCTGGGGCCATGAGAGTTCGTTAAAAAGCTGTGTAAAATCACGCTTTGAAAGCTCTGACTGTTGTCTGGAGGTGTCATTGGTGCCCACGTGTATGACGACCCCGTTTACCTGAGGATGTGAATTCAGGACGCTTGGGATTTTCTCAGTGATGTCTGCAACAGTGGTGCCGGGAAAGGACAGGGTGAATGCTCCCCTCAGACGGACGTTTCGGATGATGGAGTCCCCGATGACAAGTGTCGTGGCCCGTTGCCTGAGGGGGTCGGCTGGCTCGGTTGAACCCGTCCTCCCCCTCAGGCGCCCGGGGATGAGGACGTCCAGTGTGCCACCACACCGTGTCCTTGAGGAGCCGCCTCCGCTGGGCTAAGGGACGTGGAGACGGAGGCGAGCGGCACGGCGCTGGGCGGCACGGCGCTGGACGCCGATCCGGTGGGGCACAGGCAGCCATGAGTGAAGGGAAGGCTGTGGTGTCCGTCAGCAGGGGCACAGCATCCCTCGGGGAGACCTCGGGATCAGCAGGGCCCTGGTCCAGTGGCTCCACAATCATGGACAGAGCCGAATATTTGTTGGAGAGGGGGATGCCAATGGAGGAGAAAACCTCGCACGGAGCCCTGGCAGGAGCCTTCTTACGACTACGGACCACTACCTCAGACCAGGGGGTCCCTTTGTTGGGAGTAGAGCTGGAGGGCCGCTGACAAGTGGAGGAGGAAGGCTCCCAGACGACGGTGTCCCTCAGTGCAGTGGCAGAGCTATGCTGTGGCAGTCACTGGTCTGTGTGCTCTCCAGCCAGCTGGACAACGCCGGGAGCCAACATTTAAAAGTGGCCAGGAGTGAGTCCTTCCTCTGCAGCTCATCTGAGAGTCGACCAATGTCCTCCAGAAGATCAGCGATCTTTTGCTGGGCTCTTTTAAGTTGTTGACCAACTTCAGCAGGTAAGGAAGCGTCAATGGCGGTAGCCTCCATGGGTGCCATGTAGCTAACTCAGCAAGAGTGCATAAAATCCCAGTCTGATGACTAAAACCTTTTATCCGGTAAAAGCAAAAAGATAAAAATAATCCTTTGCTCAAGGAACAAAATGTTAAAAGCTATCAGAACATTTTAAAACGGAATAAAAACAACGGCTTGCGGGAACCTGCACTCTTTTTCTCCGCTACGACAGATAAAATAAAATAAAGTAAAATAGAATAAAAACCCATACACGGTAAAAGTTCAACTTAAAAGCCAGCAAACACTTAAAATGCAGTCTTAAAAGTTGTTTAAAACCGGTTAAAATGGGTTAAAAAGTTGGTCGCAGGAGAGAGAAATGGCTGGGTGCCATACGATGCCGACGCATGCGCACACAGCAAATTAGGAGATGCTTCCTTCACTGTCTTGGTCGTAACATTCGATTATTTCTTGTGATAGTTCCAGGAAAACAGTGCAAATAAAAACATGGATAAAGTTTATCCTGATGCTTAGTTTCTGTCAGATAAATTTTAATGTCAACCATCTGATGGTTTACACATTATTCTTTTTATCTGAAGTTTGAAGTCCTGCTATTCTGAGCGATGAAAGCTGTCAAACGTCAAATGTGATGAACTTTTGAATTTACGTTATCGACAGCTGACTCATCTAAAGCAGTTTTGTTAATTATCTCCCGCTCTTCTTCACGTTTTCAGTGATGTATTATCTGAACCTCCCACAGATTTCAGAGGCTGTGCTGTATCTCCAGAGTCGGTTAAAATTGGGGATGTGGCAAACAGCTGGCAGGAATCAGTGCAGTACTGCAAAAACCAAGGCATGGAGCTGGTGAGCTTATTGGATGCCAACCATCAGTCACAGATTTACGACAAAATTGAGCAGGCCAAGGAAGCTAGCCTGCTGGAGGTGTGGATTTGCATGCGTAGCAGCTCCAGAAACCTTAGCTGGTACTGGCTGAACAAGCACCCGGTGAATGAGACTGACTTGGCGGGACATAAGCCGGAGCAGGGTCAGTGTGTTATCATGAGTACAGAGAGAGAAAAGGACTTCAGCTGGAGCAACAGAGAGTGCTGCAAGAAGGCTTGGCTGGTCTTCTACAGGCCGCTGATCTTCTTCCCCATATAGTGGGACCAACCCGGTTTGGATGAGGTCCTGCAGACATATTTAACCCTGTAGATCTGTATTTATCTAGAGAATTATATTTAATATGTTAAGAAATAGAAGAAGATTTTCTGCTGTCCACTCGGTGAGGCCTGGATAAGTGTCTTCAATAAAGTAGATGGAGTTACTGTAGAGGACATCTTTAGGACTGAGAGGCTGTTTTAATACAGAATTTATGATCTATGTGATCAGAGAATTAATAATAATAAAGTTAGTGTCTTAAACTCAGCAGCGGCTGGACTTTGATTATTCTGATGCCTTTAAAGCTGCTGAGAGGAAGTTTTGATTTGTGTTCATTGTGTTCCCCCAAATATAAAAATATTCATATCAATATACGAGTCCCACTGCAGAGAAATAAATAAATGAAATAACATTTTGAACTGTGAGTTTCTCTGTTTTTTTTCTTTATCTCAAACTGGTCCAGGGTAAATTTTCCACTGATATAAATATCTGTTTTAAAGTTAATCTAAAGCTGAACATCTTCCGTAACATCACACATAATTAGTAAATTAACTCCCATGTTTAAACACACAGTGGAGTATAATAACTGTTAACTATGAACATCTTTTTACAAATTTCAGGGAATTTTATTTCAGATTAACATCATCATGTGTAAAATGACAACAATATGGAAAACAACAAAATTCTTTAAACTTCAGACAAGTACCGAAGTTAAATTTGTTGTAAGTCAACATGTTTAAAATAAGGAAAATGTGTTTGTTTGGACATTTATCATCTGAATTACCGTAACACATTCTGGTTAAAGTGTTTAATTCAGATACATGGAGGTTTTCAGCTAAAAACAGCTTAACTGAAAACTGTCACCACCTCACCACAGCAGCAGGGGTCTCTCTCTGCTGATTCACTCCCTGCAGGTCCAGGTGGAGGCGGGTCATCATTAGGTGGGTCACACCTGGGCCAGGTGAAGCAATCCTCTCAACACCACTGTTCCCATTAAAAGGCGGAGCATCAGGGCATTGCCAACTTTACACACTCACTAACACAGAAACAAAAATACACACACAAACAAAAATACACACACATAAACAAAAATACACACTCAAACATGCAGAACTATAAACCAGACTGATACAGAAATATTTCATTTTTTTTTTTTTTTTTTGCATCGTTAAAAGAATTTAATTCTTATTCATTTGAAAACATCAAATCTTCTCCACCCTACAAACAGAGTATAGAGTCAGGGTCATATAGGCTGTGTCTCATTTCAGAGACCACACCGTCGATGTTAGAATAATGTGCATAAAAGTATATAGTAGTTATCATCATTCCTCATATTCTTATGTAAGAGTTTATACTACAAGTATAAACTGCTTTGACCTCTTTTTATACATCATATAAGAGTATTTTTATCATATAAGAGTGTTTCCTAACTTCTCTCTCCAATAGCTTTACTACACAGACATCAAAGTTTCTTTTAGTATTCTGTCACCGTGTTTTTCCTATCAGCAGGTGTGGGTGTGGGGGTGACGTATCCTCCGAGGACGAATCGTAGGGAGGTTCTGGGAAGGATACACGCATATCAGAAGGAGCTCGTTAGATGCCACCTTGACCTTCAGCTATTCACAAATTGTTCATTATTATGTTCTATGAAATGCTTACTTTGCAGCACATTTACCCCCACCCTTTTAGAAACATTGTGTAACCAGGGACATCTCTAAATAAAAGAGGCGGACAGAGAAAGTATCCTTAGAGTGGTACTGAGATAGCTAAAACAGATCTCTGTCCATTTCTCAAACATAATCCATTGTCGTTCTCCTTTTATTTCAGGTAAATGCAAGCAGGTTTTAGACCTAACAGTGGAACAGCGCTTTTAAAGTGTGCGTGATGTAACCACGCGGCGCGAACCGTGTCCCATTTGGCTCGAAATGCTAAGCGCACTTTAAATTCGGTCTCAAAACCACACTACCCCCGCCCCTCTTTCAAGCGTGCATTTATGCACACTTTTGTGGCCTAGGTATCCCAGATTTCTTTGCTTGCCGCTGCACAGCTGCGCATTTCAGGTGAGAGGCGGGACTCACTTGGAGATGAGATTTTCAAAGAAAATAAAAGAAATCCAAAACCAGCAGACAGTCTTTGAAATAACAGGTTACCTTACGACTTTATTCTCGTAAATTCACGACCTTAATATCGAAGTCTTTAAAAAAAATTCTCAATAAGGCCCTCATGCTCCTTCATACAAAACATGCAATCATTGGATAAATTTTGTGGGAATGATCTGTGCTTGTATGTATCTACTGTTTTGTGTCTGTGCAAGGTTGCACAGTTAAAAAATAACTTGCGCTCCATGGCTTTTCTTCAAGTCAGTCGTGACGCAAGCCTTAAGGCGGGGACATTTTGGCGACTCAACCAGGAAGTCCTCCGAAGTGTAGTGTGTCCCATTTCACAAAAACCGGACCATCTCACTTAGGGTACTCCAGTCCACATAACGTCAGTGCGCTCAGCTAAGCGCGCCTAAATGCGCTCAGCCTGATGTGGTCTCTGAAATGAGACAGCTATCATAGAGCTATCATAGCTATCATAGCTATGATATGAGCTATCATAGCTATGAGCTATCATAGCTATCATATCATAGCTATCAGCTATCATAGAGTCTGGTAATATAGAGTCAGGTTATATAGATTCAGGTAACATAGATTCAGGTAACATAGAGTCTAAGCATGCAACAATTTATCGTATGGTAATATATATCGATGTCACGTGGTTGCGACTCGAGGCGATGTGCTCAAAATCGATGTCATGCAGGAGATGGCGCCATTGACTAAAACCGCATCTCTAGTTCAGTCTGTTTAAAACACTACCGTAACTTTGTTGGCACAACCCTGGCTCTAAAGGGTTGTAGTTCAGAACGTTCTACGTCACTACGTGGTAGACGTACTACGTCACACGCAGTGCCAGTCAGAGAGGTGTAGCGATTTCAAATTCAAAATAAATGTCGAAAATTAATCAAATTAAATTATGACATTTATGCACTCGTTGAAGGGGCACCACCCACCTTTCTGGTGGGAAAAGGACGAAACAAGGTTCAATTGAGTAATTAAACATTGGATCAGTCTTAAACAGATTTAAATCAGTCTCTCATCTGAGGCCGGAATTCTTCATTCAGGGACTACTTTCTGAAAGACCACTAAGACGACAACTTAAAATTAAATGGACAATTTATTAACAAGCTATATGATAACAAAACGTCAATAAATGATGATCAAATAATGAGCAAATCAAAGCACATCTAATGAATAAACGAAGGAATGGTTTAAATTAAACCTAAGACTGGAGGTTAATAATAGTGAGTGAATAAAGGGGAAATTTGACCTACGTTAACGGAGTTACGAGGGTAAATTAAAAAGGAATTTGGAGAACTAAACTATAACTTATGAGAATAAGCTACTGAACGGTTGACGGCATCACCCAGTTCTAATCACAGCAATTTCGAGGATTTAGCCTACTTTGGACGTCGGTTCTCAGCGGCACTCTTGGGATGGATCAGCTGAAGTTCTGTGGCTACCGGACCGGATACTGAAGGTTCGGCGGGGAGTTCTTCCGCCGTGTTTGGATCTCAGCTTCAGGACCGTGTCAGCGCCGTTAGATACTTCGGATCTCTGGGCCTCTCGGAACCAGGTGGCAAAGCAGCTTGGCAGATGATGCTGGTCGGCGTTCAGGACTAGCTTAGTTGCAGATTAATTCGCGCCAATAACTTAAGAAAATAATTTCGCTGGCCAGCCGATATTATCTTCAGGAGTCACTTTAGCGAACAAAAATAAATAAAAAGACTTAGACTGAGGTTATCTTATGCGCGCAGCTTGTTACTGAGGCTTTAAGGACTTGGGGATGATTTCATCCAAGTTTAGAACAAAAATCTGAGCTTAAGGCAATTAATAAAAACGCAGGGAAAATTGCGAACTATAGATGGAGACAAAGAAAACTACGAAGAAGACAAACTAGATTAAAACAAAACAAGACTAGACTGAAGAAAAACAAGACAAAAACTAAAACAAGACTAAAGAGGCGGCAAAATCTCAACTCTTTTAAGCGATTCACCGTAGGCGTGAACCAAAGATGAGAAAAGGGGGGGACCTCCCCAATGCAGCCCATCGACTGGCAGTGAATTAACTCAACTTGATAGCAAAAGCGAGCTAGATCTAATTTACTCACTCACTATGATTAAACTGTTTGTAACATCACATACGATCACATTTCACTTCATTGTTTCTTATGAGCAGATGCATTAAAGCATGACATTGAAAACAGTAAACTTTTGATCAGCCGTCTTCTTGATAAAACAAAACAGAGGATTAACGACTTTTAAAAGTTAGAGAGGGACAGAAAACAAATTATCTATTCGAACAGAAACACCATCCAGCATAAGAAACACGTCCGTAATAATATTTGACAACACTATAACCTTGTCAATCATGCTTCATAGATGATTAATATATATATTTGTGTGAGGTAGACAAAAGCATAGTATGGATACATTCAGAAACTCTTAACTTGAGTTTAAACGAGTTTCACGTTACTACTTCTAAACTACTAGCCTATCTCGGGAATACCATTTACTAAGCTACGAAGCGTGTAAAACAAAAGGTAAGAAATACACATGATTAGATCCCTGCCATTTGGCTCTGATCAAACCATATTCAGGCATCACCACTAGGAGGAGCTCTTGGTCCATGGAAAACCTGGAATAAATTTGTGAAGTTAACAGTTTGGCTTGTGGATATGTTACAGAATTGGGAAAAAGACCATTTCATTAGGAATGTGGTGTACAGACAGAAAATTCTGGTGAAGTGTCCATTAAACATGAAGTTAAACCATTTTCAGGCATCCTCTTCCTTCTGCTCTGTAAAGAAAGCCAAGGAATTTTATGGCCGGTATCTGGTTTTTCGGATTTGGCGCCAACTGGCTTGTTTTCCCTTTTAGGTCATTGGGTTAATCCTGAAGTGTCAATTCTGATCTTTCCCAGCCAGGGTGAGAGACTCCGTGTTTATGGGTCTGTGTGGTTGATAAGCAACTTGTCCTTTTTGGGAAGCGTTAAAAATTCACTATCACCTCCCAAATGGTTTCCTGGGTCGTAAATGGGAACTTGGTGTGCAAACCGTTTCTCCCCCATTTCCTATCCAAACCAGGGGAGCCTGCATTCCTTTGAGGGGTGGATTCAATGTGGATAGCAGAAAGCAGTTGTCTCGTTACAGAGGAAAAGGAGGGAAAAAGAGGAGCGTCATGGGGATGTTTTGTAAAATACAACAACTCACATGAATGGAGAGATGCGAATGCAAAGAGAAGAGAGAGACACGGGAAGAAAATAAAGAGAAAAGAAAACGAGAGACATGGCGGGGGTGGTCGAACCCAGTGATGTGGAGATAGTGCCAGCTCCGGTCACTTTTAAATCAGAAGTGTGGAAGCATTTTGGATTTCCTTGAACTACAAAAGAAAACGGCGAAAAGGTAATCAATAAGAAACACACCATCTGCAGGTATTGCAAGATACAGGTTCCTTACAAAACCAACACAAGCAACATGATGCAGCATTTATCCCGCTACCATAAAGACAAGTATGAGAAGCTACAGTCACCCCCTTCAGATGTCCCAAAGAAACGTTTGATCGCAGGCCAATCCACGTTGTCCACCGAAGCCCCCCTCGCCCGGAGGGAGCAACGAGCAACAGCGCTGACCCAGTCCATTGCTTACATGATGGCCAAAGACATGAAGCCGTACGCTACCGTGGATGGCGTAGGTTTTCGGTACATGATAAATAAGTTCGAGCCAAGATACCGTATCCTGTCAGCAATAAATTGGTACCAGCACTGTACGACGACACAAAAGAAAACGTGATCAAGACCCTCCAAGACCTAGATTACGTTTCAATAACAACAGACAGCTGGACATCCAGGGCAACGGAGAGCTACATCACGATAACAGCCCATGGTATTACAAGCGAGTGGACCATCGCAAATCATGTTCTCCAAACTCGCACCATGTACGAGGCACACACTGGTGTCAACATTAGTGAAGTTCTGACAGCTGCATTCACGGAATGGAATCTAAGACGAGGTAATCTTGACATCGCCATAGTGACTGACAACGCGAGCAACATGGAGGTTGCGGTGAGAGAGGCAGACGGGTTCCCCCCCATGTTAAATGTTTTGCCCACACTCTAAACTTGGCCACGAAAGCGGGGCTGAAAGTAAATGCTGTTGATCGCCTACTGGATTGTGTGAGGCGTGTTGTGGCCTTCTTCCACCGAAGCCCTACAGCAACTGCTGTGTTACTGGCCAAACAGAAACAACTGATGATTGCTCAAGAGCTTGCAGATGACAACAGCGGCGGGGAGACTGGTGAAGGCGACATTGGTGACGAGGGCACTGGTGACGGGGACACTGGTGACGCAATGAAGAAGAAAAAGAAGAAACCTAAGAAGCTCATCATTGATGTCACAACGCACTGGAACAGCACTCTGGATATGCTGGAAAGGTACCTGGAACTAAGAGAAGCCATTGCACTCACTCTCCTCACTGACTCAATCCAAAAAAATGCTGGCAATCTGGATACACTGAGTAACTCAGACCTACAAGATGTAACTGACATGGTGGAGCTTCTGAAACCCCTGAAAAAGGCAACCACTGTGATGATGGATGAAAAAAAACCCACTGTCTCTCTCACTTCGCCCTTAAAGCATGGGATTGAAATTAAGATGCAACCCAGTGAAGAAGATACATCCACAGTGGCCAGAATGAAGAGAGACATCCTCACAAACCTGTCCAGCAGGTACACAGAGGAGTTGGAGTACCTAGTGGAGTACACCGCTTTAGACACCAGATTCCTCAACCTGCCTCATCTGGATGAAGTACATCGCCGGGATGTTTTCCGCAGGCTGAAGGAGAAAGCTTTGCAGTTTAACCAGGTATTTATTTACTCATATAATAATCTCTATTTCTAATGCTGAAAATAATCAAATAATGTATTAAGCTGTCTGATGCTGAACAAACATAATATTTTATTAATAACAATAATATAATGAGTGGTTCTATATCAGGAAGGCATCTTTCTCTCCATACCAGCCACCTCTGTCCCTAGTGAGAGAGTCTTTTCAACACCAGGGGATGTCATAACGGCAGCAAGAGCTCAGCTGCTGCCTGAGAATGTAGATCGACTGGTATTCCTGAAAAAAAAAATTGGCATGAAAGTGGTAATGTAAACTCCAAAGAATAAGTGACTAAGACCAGTTTGTTTTGAGATTTTATTTTGTGTGTTTGAATTTTTATTTTTGGCAAGGCAAATATATATTTTAAGTTATTCTTTATTTTATCAGGAATTTATTGTGAAACTTTCATTTTTGTGAAGACACAGAAAACTAATGTCTGTAAGTGCCTCACTGACCAACTTTGTTTTGAAACCATTTCCTTTTATGTGAAGACCAAAAAAAAGTCTGTAAGTGCCTAGTAACTGGCCAACAGTAGGCTTACCTCAGGAAAAGGGCAATTCTTAAGTTTACAGAGGGTTATAAAGTTTAAGAGTTCTATAACAGTTTTGGTTTACCTGCCTTATATGCTGCTACAGTATTGAAAAAGCATAGTGCACTTGCCTTTGAAAATGGCTTTGATACAGTATTTGTGTACGAGAGAAATGATAGATGCTACCTCCTGTCATTTTCCATTACAATATTTATTTAGTAGAAGATAAAAGAAAAACACCAATGTTATTTTTGAAAGAAATAAGAAAATACTGAATTGTTGAAAGAGGAAAAACAGTGTTGTTATTGTGAAAGAAAGAAGAAAAAAATACTGTATTGTCAGAGAAATAAAAAAAAAGAAAGAAAATCAAGTAATTTCTCTGGGAAATAGTTTCGTGAAAAATCGTATCGTGAACCTAATATTTGTGACTCGGATTGAATCGTGACTTGAGCGAATTGTTACATGCCTAATAGAGTCAGGTAATATAGAATCAGGTAACTTAGAGTCAGGTTACTAAAAATCTGGTTACTTGGATCTGGTTTGGTTGCTTAGATTTTGGTTCCTATAGAAATTAGAAAGTGTTTACACTTCATAAAATGAGAATATATGAGAGAATGAGTTTTTGTAAAATGAGAATTAAAGAGAAAGTGGGTTTTTGTGAGATGAGAATAAACAAGGAAATGAGTTTTTCTAAAATGAGAATATATGAGGAAATGAGTTTTTGTGAAAATAGAGTTAAAGGAAGAAGCGATTCAGGAGATGAGAGCTGTTCACTTCCACCAGCAGCTGACCACCTGCAGAGCTCCTCCTTGCACCATGCACACCACGAGCAGGATGACCTTTGCCCCCAGAGACAGGGAAAGGAGAAGCACAAGAGGAGGTGAGGCCCCGCCCACTGACAATGGAGGTCGGGGGGGCAGCACATACAGGGTGGCCTGTTCTCGACCCAGTGGGTTGGAGGCACTGCAGGTATACTGCTGACCTGGCTCGACGTCCCTCAGCTGGCTGATGGTCTGGTAGGAATGAGGCTGGGTGCCCTGAGCCAGCGGGCCTAACACAGAACCTTCCAGAAGGTCATCCAGGCCAAACCACTGTACATCAGGCAGCGGGGAGCCCAGAACCCGACACACTGCGCTGAAGCCAGACCGCTCCGTACCCTCTACCATGAGAGCGATGATCTTTGGAGGAGCTGCAAGAAGAAGAGGGACAGAGATGAGTGCGCCCCCTGCTGGAAAAGATTGTTTTTGGAGATAAAGAAAAGTCTAATCAGCATTTAAATGATCATCTGTTACGACATTACTCCCCTTTACAACATCAAATTTTCTATCTCAACTAAAAAAATGAAAACTTTGACAGAAAACAGCGTAACAAGAGCAAACTACACTGACAGAAACCGTGTTTGACAAGTGTTTATTTCACTTCGACTTTGGAGTCAGTTCTTAGTGTTTCAGAGTCTCTTTTTTTGTTCAGTCTGTGGCAACCACATGCACAAATGATCAGATCAATCAGCAACTAAAGGACAGTACGTGAATGAGCATGTGTCTGTAAATGTTACAGGTCATAAATGTATTTTACTCATACTCTCCACCCGTAGTTTGGTTCCCATCTTGTCCTCGAAGCTGATATGTTCTCGTCCCAGGATTTCCACTCGACAGTAGTAGCGCCCGCTGTCCTGTAGGGTGGCGCTGTTGATCCGCAGTGACAGGTCATGCTCCCTTGGGTTCCCCTCGAGCCGGTAGCGTTGGTCCTGCTGGGGTCCCGGTTCACAGGTGGTGGTCCCTGAGTGGCTGGTGCAGCGGTACAGGACCGTGGCGCTCTGTCCGTGGCCCAGGCGCCACAGCACCTGCAGTGAGGAATGCTGGGAATGCTGGGGGTGGCTAAAGGTGCAGGGCAGCACCACAGGGTAACCCTCGATGGCTCTGACCTCCGACTGCACGTTCATAGACCAGCCATCGTCTCCAGAGCCGAGGGCGGCTGGGAGGGCAGAGAAGAAAATCAGGAATGATTTTTAGACTCAAGATTTGAAGATTATTAATTTTGACTGAAAAAAAAAAACACAAACAACACTGATCCTCTGAACTCTGAGTGGAGGAAGCCTGTTAGCACGGCAGGGTTTGAATGAGTATAACAGGAAATTGAATGACACTAACACTGTTATAAACACTGTTATAAACACTCTTATAAACGCTGTTGTAAACACTGTTATAAATGCTGTTATATATAGTGTTATAAACTCATTTAAACACAGTTATAACATAGATGTCAGTGTTATAGATCCTGTTATAAACACTGTTATAAACTCATTTAAACTGATATAAATGCTGTAATAAACACTGTTATAAACTCTGTTATAAACTCATATAAACACTGATGTCAGTGTTATCGATCCTGTTATAAATGTGCTTTTGTTGGTCGGACTGAGAACATGTTCATCAAAAGTTAAAACCTAAAATCAGATTAATGTCATGTTTGGAAGGATTTTATAAGCTGAACAGGAGACGGTTTCATAAACACAGTAAAAACAAAAAGGTTAAAATAATTCATTCAGTTATTTGAGATTCAGATTAATTTTTAGATCTTAAGACCATCCCCTTTAGACAGAGGCAGATGTTCTACCTCTGTACCCTAACCACCAATCACACAGATATAACATTTAATAAAGATTAAACATTTCATCCAGATTTAACGTTTAATCCAAATTCAACATTTAATTCAGATTTAACATTTAATCCATGTTTAACAATTCATTCAGATTGAACATTTAATCCAGATTTAACTTTTAATCCAGATTAAACATTAACAGTTTTCTTCTCTGAAAATCAGCTGAGACAAAAAAGAGGAAACTCAAAAACAATAAGACTAAAGACACAAGGACGAGGTACAGCACTGCATCTTCAATGTGTGTGTGTGTGTGTGTGTGTGTGTATGTGTGTGTGTGTGTGTGTGTGTGTGTTTCCTCACCTTCTCTTACAGGTAACAACAGAATCAAAGTGCTGCAGATAAGCCAAACATCCATGATGAGACTGGAACACACTGTGTGTGTATGAGTGTGATTCTTGGGACTCACTTCATCTTAATCATCACACACACATTTTTTTCCGAACTCTATTCTAGGCTTCTTTATTTTAACACCCCCCACCCCCACCCGCAGAGTAAATCATGACTTACACGGTTTTTAAGGTCAAATCAGATAACTGAGGAAATGTGAGAAATTACTGAGATAAACCCCTCCTATCAGATGTGGCGAGTGTTTAACCCCGTCTTATCAGGTGTGGCAAGTGTTTGAACCTGTCCTGTCAGGTGTGGCAAGTGTTTAACCCTGTCCTGTCAGGTGTGGCAATTGTTTAACCCTGTCCTGTCAGGTGTGGCGTTTGTTCAACCCTGTCCTTTCAGGTGTGGCGAGTGTATAACTCTGTCCTATCGGGTGTGGCAGCCTCTGCAGAGTGTTTTAACCCTGATCTGAGGTCACCTGATGGCCTCTTCGATTTGGTGAGAGCGATGGCTTTCTGTGGTTCAGCTGAGGCTTTTGCTGCCGCCCACTTCCTGCAGATCAAACTCCTGAAACTCAAACAGACACAGACGGGGCGCTTACAGGTCTTCACTGCAGTAAAAGTACCAGGAACTAAAAGTAACAAAAGATCCTCATCCAGCTGCAGACTCTGAATCAAAGATTAAAGAAAACTCACAAACTGACTGACGACAAATCGCCAACTTCACATTTTCTAACAGATCTGGATTGTTGGGCTGAAGAATCTCTGCAGAATGATCTCCATCACCATTTCAGAAACTAAATCTAACGTCTTTATTTTATTTTATTTTACTGCTTTATTAAAGTGACACTTTTAAAACTTTTTACATGTAAGAAATGAAGTTTTTGTTCCTGCCAGTAGAAAATACAAATTTTCATCAGTTTATTGATTGTAAACTTTGTCGCAGTTTGATTTATTTATTTTTATCTTATTTTTTATTTTGGTCACAAAAATGTCGGATTGTGGTGTGTGTGTGTGGGGGGGCATCAGAAAGAAAAACAGACACAGAGGGTGTGTGTGTGTGTGTGTGTGTGTGTGTGTGTTTAACTACATTGTGATCACAGGAAGTGGTTAACAGTGTGTCCGTCTCCATGGCGATGAGTCAAAGTGTTGACTGAGTAGGACAGAAAAACTCGAGTTCAGGTCAGCGTGTTGAAATTAAAACAATAAATATTTAAATCCGTCTGACATGAACTCCAAACATTTATGTATTGATGAAGTTGATCGATTTACTGTTTATTTACGGAAGCCCAAGAGGGACAGAAGCCAGTATTGTTATTATCTGAACCATTAATGTGAACAAACAGTCGAGGAACTTATTAAGATAAAATTCACAAATAAAAACTAGAATTACATTAAATTCTCAAAATACACTTATTTATAAAACACATTTTTAACTTTGTTACATTTACTTACCTTCTGCTGCTCTTCCACCTTCACAAATTTTGCCCTTTTCCTTGTCTGCTTGCTTCCTCTGCACAGGCCCATATTTTGCTCTCTTTCTAGCCTGCCTGCATCTCCCCTCGGCTGCTGCAGTCTGAATTATTGACGAAATTTGCATTTGTTCAGATGCTGAGTGCAGAGACTTGTTCTTTTCTAGTGAGTCTCTAAATAAAAGTCCCATAAAAACCGTCAGAGGATTTCTAACTTTCAGTATTTACACTAAAGTGAACAAATTTCCGAAATAAAATCTAGAGACATTTTTAGCTCGGAGTTAAAAAAGAATTAAATGCTGTCAAGATGAAATGAAGAAGCTGAGACAACTATGGTTTCATTAATTTTGACATTTTCAATCATTCTTTAAACATTTATAATCAGGAATAACAGCAGGAACACACAACACACACTTACTGAGCAACATCACTTCATCTCATAATAACTCATCACTTCATCTCATAATAACTCATCACTTCATCTGGTCCCCCAAGTGAAGAGACTTCATTTAATCTCCTGAATGACCAGAAACCCTCAAGTCCAAGTCCTGTCCCAGGTCCACCGAGGACCGATCCAATGTCGAGTCAGAACCTGAGTCCAGCACACTGTGACCTCTGCAGGATCAATTTCACATTTTCCTAAATGGTTAAAAATTTCCATGGCAACAGAGCGTCTCCATCAGCTGATCAGGTAACAATTAACATGATGAGAGTCGATCAGACTCTTTTTTCTGTCCTCTGCTGGACAGTGTGTGTGTGTGTGTGTGTGTGTGTGTGCGTGAGTGTGTGTGTGTGTGTGTGTGTGTGTGTGTGTGTGGTCACTAAGGAGAGCTGAGCGTCAGTCTGAACCATGAGAGTCTGGAAGCTTCAGTCTGAATGCTGCTGCAGTGTTTTTACTGACAGACCACACCTCCTACACACACACACACACACACACACACACACACACACACACACACACACACACACACACACACACACACACACACACACACACACACACACACACACAGCAGCGTGAAGACACTCTTAGACACAGGATGTGTACTTCAAAATAAAAGCATGAAAACTCATGAATAAGAGTTTTTCTGTTTTAAAATGTTAAAACTGGAAAATACGAAAAAAGTTCTTATAGAGGAAAAAACAAACAGGTCAAGTTGTAAAAAAAACCTCTGGAGGAACATCTCTAACTCATGGTTAGTCACATGACCGGGTCTAAGACGGACCTTCAGAGTCTCTCAGAGGTTCAGGACTCTGTGAGAGACTGTGTGAGCGAGCAGTTCAACAGTTTTAGAATAAAGTTCCTGAGTTTCATCGTTGACAGAAAATCTCTGTACTAAAGGGGGACCAGGACCAGAACCAGGACTGGATGGTCCTGATCCACCAGATATCAATGTAATTAAGAAATGCTGATGAAAACTCTGACAGTCCTGTTGGAAATCCTGGACTCTGAAATCCTCCTCTCCAAAGACTTGAGGGTCCACCAGACATGTTCTCGTCTCTCAGTCCAAATCCAGTATCCCTGATGGTCTGGGGACCACCAGAGTCCATGTCATCTGTGAAGGTTCTACTAAAGCTGAACTAGATCTCCAGGTTTAGGACTAACATCTGCGTTCATCCAGACCAGGACTTCTTCAGAGAAGACCTTCATATGATCCAGAACCACATCCTGACAACAGCATGGCTCTGCAGGAGAAGAGTCCTGCTGAAGAATTGGACTGATATGGTCCTGACTTGACCTTCATTATGACCCCAGAACCAAGACTAAGGACCCTGAACTGTTGAGTACTGCTGAATATTCACAAACTGTCCCTACGATAAAATTATTTTTTGTGAAAACAAGAGTAAAAATATCATGACAGTAATGTTGGTATTAAAACAATAAAAGGCTTAAAATATAAGTTTTTTTTACAAACTGTATGTGTAAAAGTTCCTATTTATCATAAAAATCTGTTTATTTTTGTTCAAACAGTTTATTTATATTTTCTGTTAATTTTTTTAATTAAAAATTGAAGACAGAACATTTTCAGAGATGAAAACAGGATCTGCCGCTGGACTGTGGCTTTTATTCTGAAAAGTCCAACCGGAAGTGTGGATGTATAACCGGGACGTATTGGCGCGGTGTGACGTCAGACTGTTACAGTCCGTGCGGACCTTCTACTGCAGGTTAAAGTGTTAAGATTCACCTGTCCGCGTGACCCACCGGAGTTTACCAACAACATGTCACACACCGTCATCACCACGACAACCACCACAACCCGAACCTACGGAGAGAGCGGACCGAACATGGGCTACACCCGAACCATCCCGGGACTGCTGAAGATCGGACAGATGGTGAGTCCAGCCCGACACGCCTCAGTTCATACCGGGATTCAACCGGGCAATAACAACGTTAATACCGAGATTCAACCGGGATACAACCTTGTTATTAACGGACAAAACACTGGAGTTTACACCCGAAACAACACTGTTTATACCGAACAAAACACCGGAGTTTATACCTAAAACAACGCCGTTGATACCGAACAAAACACCGGAGTTAATACCCAAAACAACACCGTTTATACCGGGCAAAAACACCGGAGTTAATACCCAAAACAACACCGTTTATACCGGACAAAACGCTGGCGTTTACACCTGAAACAACATCGCTTATACCGGGAAAAACACCAACGTTCATCCACAAAACAACACCGTTTAGACTGGGAAAAACACCAGATTTTATCCACGAAACAACACCGTTTAGACAGGACAAAACACTCGAGTTTATCTACGAAACAACACCATTTATACCGGGAAAACACACCGGATTTTACACCCGAAACAACATTGTTTATACTGGAAAAAACACAGGAGTTTACACTCGAAACAACAACGTTTAGACCGGGAAAAAAGACTGGAGTTCACACCCGAAACAACACCGTTTATACCGGACTAAACACCAGAGTTTATCCACGAATCATAACCGTTTATACCGGACTAAACACCAGAGTTTATCCACGAATCATAACCGTTTATACCGGACTAAACACCAGAGTTTATCCCCTAAACAACACCTTTTATACCGGACAAAACACTGGAGTTTATCCACAAAACAACACTGTTTATACCGGACTAAACACCAGTTTGTCTGCAAACCAACACTATTTATGCGGGACAAAACACTTGAGTTCATACCTAAAACAGCACTGTCTATACAGAATAAAACACTGGAGTTTATCCACAAAACAACACTGTTTATACTAGACAAAACACCTGAGTTTATACCTGAAACAACACTGTTCACCTTGGACAAAACAGTAGAGTTCATACCCAAAACAACATTGTTTATACAGAATAAAACAGTGGAGTTTATCTACAAAACAACACTGTTTATACTAGACAAAACGCCAGAGTTTATACCTGAAACAACACTGTTTACCTCGGACAAAACAGTGGAGTTCATACCCGAAACAACACCATTTATACCAGGAAAAACACCTCAATTTACCCCTAAAACAACACCGTTTATACCGGGTAGAAACACAGGAGTTGACACCTGAAACAACACCGTTTATACCGGGAAAACACCAGAGATTGAAAAAAACGTTCTACCGGACAAAACACTAGAGTTTATCCACGAAACAACACTGTTTATACAGGGAAAACACACCAGAGTTTACCCCCGAAACAACACTCTTTAAACCGGACAAAACACTGAAGTTCACACCCGAAACAACTCCGTTTATACCGGGAAAAAACAGTGGGGTTCACACCCGAAACAACACCGTTTATACTGGACAAAACACCGGAGTTTATCCACCAATCGTAACTGTTTATACCGGACTAAACACCAGAGTTTATCCGCGAACCAACACAGTTTATACTCGACAAAACACTGTATTTCATACCCGAAACAACACTGTTTATACAGAATAAAACACTGGAGTTTATCCACAAAACAACACTGTTTATACTAGACAAAATGCCAGAGTTTATACCCGAAACAACACTCTTTATACCAAGCAAAACATCTTAGTTTATCCCAGGCGTACAGGGGAATACACAGTTTTGCCAAAAAAACAACAAACTTTTTTTTAAAGTTAATTGAAAGGTTTAGCTCTGGGCCATAAATATATTTGGTTTAATTAGATTCAATTTAAATATTTGCTTAACTTCACTGATTCTTTATGGATTGCTATTTTTTTTATATCTTGGAATAATCCGATAGGAGGTTGAACAAAGGTCACATGATTAATTCTTTGTTTCAGAGATGAGTTAATATTTCCTTACTTTTGTTAGCTGAATTTATTTAGAACTGTTATAATTTATAATATTATTTACTTATTATTTTAGGGGGTGGTACTTATAATTTACGAAACCTTAGAGATGTATCATAATGAAAATCTCATTTTCGATAGTCAGCATTCTGCCATGTTTTGGTCGACTATACGAATAGCCACAGAATAGAGGAGTTGCTCCGGGTCAGGTTCACCCTGAACCAATCATGTGCTGAATTAGAACCAAGTATCAAACAACTGTGTCGCAGCAGACAGCAGCTACACCCAGCCATAGCACATTAACAGGTGAATCTGACAGCACTGTTGGTGAGAAAAAAAGAAAATGAGTGCTACCCCCGACAGAAATGACAATGAAGGCTCAACAGATGACGACATCGTCGACAACGCTGGCATGAAAACGTTGGTGGTGTGGAGGTATTTTGTTTTTTTTAAGTTGGACATGAAGCAGAGTAATGTGTACTGCAAATTATGTCGAGTACATGTTCTCACAAAGTCGGGGAATACCTCAAATCTTTTTACCCACCTGAAGCAGCGCCACGCCACAGAGCATGTGCAACGCAAAAGGTTACAAACCCAGAGTGGAGCAAGGAGTCCATGGCGCCTGTGTAGCCGAAACAGACGACCATTCAGTCAACTGATAACTGGTTATTATTGATACTCTATACAGGTGATTTTATCTTTTCTAGAGCAGAGGGTGGAGGAGGACTGCAGTTATTGATCCAGTGATCAACAAAGGACTAGTTACATAACATTCCAACTTTAATAAACTAATCAGTAAATCAATAACAGTATAATGGTAACTAATCAGCTGTTGAATCTGATCTTATCATTTTCAGTCGAACTCAGAAGTTTTTTCAGCTCAGACGTGTTTTATCTAAGCTGAGACTCAGAGTCTGAGTGTAAAAGACGAAGTTTATGTTCGAGCAGAAACCGAAGTCTGAGTGTAAACGACGAAGTTTATGTTCGAGCAGAAACCGAAGTCTGAGGGTCAAACCCTGAAACTTTTTATTGAACCGACCAATCAGAGACGGTCAGGTAAGCCTCCACCTGAAAAACAAACTAAGACCTGAGCCAGAACTGCTAAAACCTGACCCCACCCCCTCTCCCCAGCTGGCACTCCTCGTGGCCTTCCTGTGCGTCCGTTGTGCCCGTGGTTGGCCCAGCTGGGCGGCTTTTCAGTACTTTGAGGTGGTGTCTCTGTGGTTCCTGGTGGCCCTCCTCATCTTCTTCCTCATGCACCTCTTCAGACTTCAGGCCAGTATGCCGTGTATCAACTGGCCCCTGACGGTGAGCCCCCCCCCCCCCCCACACACACACACACACACACACACTGCAGAGCTGAGGGTGTGTGTGTCTGTCGGTGTGTAAGTGACGGAGCTTCAGTTTATCTGTTAACAAAACAGGAAGTTACACAACGAGTCCTCCAAGGGTTTAGAGAAGTAAGGAAGGAAGTGAGTGAGGGACGAGAAGCTGCAGGTGTCAGAGGAGGAGTGTCAGCGAAAAATAAACTTTAATCTGTTGGGGGGTGGGGGCAGACAGAGAGGGAGAGAGAGAGAGAGAGAAGGAGAGGGAGAGAGAGAGAGAGGGTGGGTGGAAATAAGGTATCCATATAAATTGATGATAACGCACTTACATACTTATTTAACCCTTTGTGCTCTGTGAAGAAGTGAATGTTTTTTTGGCCGTAGTTAGTGAATAAGACTCTTGCTTTAATGAAAATATAAACAGTTACCGTTATTGTTGCTGTTAATATTGTACTTTAGTAATATTGTTACAACAATCATGCCAATAAAGCTTGTTGAAATGTTGAAATTGAAAATAATCCTCTGAGACTCTAACAAAAGCCTGTCTCATACAGAGGTTTGGTACCTAAGGGAGTTAAAACAAACCATGGACTGAGCCTATATTAGAGGATTTACGGTAGTTTAAATATAAAGTGTTATGTTTTGAGGAAGAGCCTGAATATAGAGAGTCTTAATGTTTAGTTAAGATAATTTAGAGATGTAAAAAGTGAAACTTTATGATGTTTTATTTATTCTCCTGCTCTTCTTTCTGTCTCAGGAGTTTTTCCGTTATTCCATCTGTTAAACTGACTTTATTTTATAGTTTATTCACTTTCACCTGGTTTAACCCTTGTGCACTCCTTTAAATTTACTGACACTTGTTACCCTTGTGGCCAAAAGTGCCCGGTCTAATAAAAGTGCAGTAAAAACATTATACATTCCTTTTTCTTTTTTTTTTAACTTTAAAGCATTATATCTTGTTAACAACTCCAGACCTATCCATAGATATAAAGTTTATTATAATTTTTTAATATTTTTTTAGGTTTTTAGTGTCTTTTGTCGTGAGAACCCCTGATTTTTTTAATAGGAAAAACACAAAATATGCAATATTTCCAAAAATGAGTTGCAAAATGAAATATTTTTGATAAAGATTTTTGATCAAGATATTTATTTTAATGCATAATAATTTTTGGCACATGAGAGATTCAAACTTCTCCTTCTCCTCTTTGTTTCCCCTTCTCAAATTGCATTATCCCTGTCCTGAATCCTCTTGGCTCATGCACACACATAGAGCCCTAGGGGTGCTTGAGCCCCTGCCCTTTTTGCCTTGTATTAAAAGGTGCCCTCTTTTTAAAAAATTTTTTTATAGCATTAATTAATTCCTGTTAGGGATGTAAAAAAAAACAACAAAAAAAAAAACGGTGGTACAAAAACTCCACGGTATTCTACCTTACCCATTGTCTTGTAATACAGGTTTTTGTGTGAGATGAGCCTGCCACTTCTCTGTCCACTCTGTCACAGAGCCGCCAGAGAGAGAGAGCACGGTGCATCAATTCAGCACAGAGCAGATCATGTCAGACAGGAAATCCTGTACAAAATAGAAAATAAAACACTAGGTTTATTTTCAAAACAAAATGCATTGTGTTTATGGAGGATCACATTTTCCTCACTACAGGTCTGAAGTACAGGTTCCAGGTTTAGATACAAAGTTTATTGTGACTTCGCTACTGTTGTGTGGGCTAACAAATTAATAATAATAATAATAATAACAATAATAATGATAATCTTTTTGTATGATATGGACTTATTGGGTCTGAAATAAAGTTTATAGATAGATAGATAGATAGATAGTAATTTCAGCATGTAGGTAATCTGTGTTTGAAATATTACCATGTTGATCATGTCATGTTGACAATAGTTTGTTGACACAAAAGAAATGGCAATTGCATATCACTTTCACCTACACAGGACAGTCGTTAGCTTTTTATTAGTACTTTGTTTTTTAATTTTACAATAATTTCCATATAGTATAACGGACTGGAAAAAAAATTAAGCCTCTGTCCCTGTATAATCATGTGCACGTCCCTGTCCTGGCTCCAAGGTGAATCTTGTGTGTGAATGAGAAGCATGTATCTGAGGTGAATTTTGAGGATTCATCTGAGAGTCAGAAGGGCTGATTATTCCCATACAGATGGACCCTTTAGATGAAAATAAAAAATCCCAGGTCAAAAGGGCTCCGTTGATGTTTTTTTTTTCCTCATTCATATTCAAACCTCTATTTTATATCATTGCTAATATACCAAGGCCATTTTATGGTGTTTAGCTTTGTTATTTCTATGCATTTTGCGAGGTAACAAACCCAGGCCTTCACTGAAATTTCCCCAAAACTTTATGTAATGGCCTCTGGTTGTTAAAGGGGGTCATTACTCCTAAAACATATTTTCCCTAAATTTTGAAGATAAAAGCTTAGATCTATTAGGTATAAATAGAAAAAGCATTAAAATATGTTAGGATTATAGCGTATGACAAATATGTGGTTATAATGGGAGTCAATTGGCCACATTTGGCCACAAGGGTAACAGGTGTCGGTGTAATGCAAATCTCCTATTCTAAACACTTCCAGTACACAGGCTTTTGGAATTAAGGAAATAAAAATGAAAAAAAATAGTGCCAAAATTTCATACAGCTAGCCTTTAAACTGACCGGGTTACTGAGAGAAGAACAAAAAAAACACCCAAAATGGCCACTTTTGTCCTCAAGATGCTCCGAGGGTTTTAAAACTATTCCCCGTTATTTATTGACTCTTCTTTCTGTCTCAGGAGTTTTTCCATTACTCTGTTGGCTCTGTCCTCATTTTGATTGCATCCATCATTGGCGCTGTAAAGAGTGGAGGAGTTTCAGCGCTGGTGGTGGCGTCGGTAAGTCAACACACTGACACTGGGTAATTCCTTGACAGCTGTCCATATTTATATTTATTAGCTTAAATATGTAACAATCCATTTTTATTGCAAAATAAAACCATCAGCATCAGCAGGATCAGATCTTCGGACCCTCCTCTCTGTACACAGATCGGCTGTATCAGGTGTCAATCATAGAAAACATGAACCCCCTAATAACTTTTAAAAATGGAGCTGTACAGAAAAAAGAGGACTTGAGCACAAACCAGTCTTACAGTAACTACATGTCAACATCACAGCCAGGGGGGAAAAACATTTATATTCTGTGTCATTAATTTATAAAATTCGTCCACAGCTCCATAAGGAGGCAGAATTTATGACCTATACTGCAGCCTGTCACCAGAGGGTGCTGTTCTCAGAGTGGCATCACCCAGCGAGGAGGCAGACTGCGTCTATTCTAGATACAGTCTGTGGTCCCACATCACCGATAAAATCAGACTCATCCAAGTCACTCTGACAGTCCCACATTAAAACATGAGGGGCCGTCTCTAAAGTTTAATGTCTCTTTATTATTGAGGGGCTGTCTCTAAAGTTTATAGTTTCTTTATTATTAAGGGGCCGTCTCTAAAGTTTATAGTTTCTTTATAATTGAGGGGCTGTCTCTTAAGTTTATAGTTTATTTATTATTGAGGGGCTGTCTCCAAAGTTAATAGTTTCTTTATTATTAAGGTGCCGTTTCTAAACATTATAGTTTCTTTATTATTGAGGAACCGTCTCTAAAGTTTTTAGTTTCTTTGTTATTGAGGGGCCGGTGCCTCAGTTTCCCTGTGGTTCTCATAAACAGTATTTAACACTCGGGTTGATTATTCCAGTAAAACTATGAAACACTTTCTGGGTGTAAGTTTATTTACCTGAGATCCTCACAGAGTCTTATCTGTGTGTGTCTGCAGGTGTTTGGGTTCATCGCAACATTTCTAATGGCTGTCAGTTTGTGGTCGACTTACAGTGTTACCTGTGGCGTTCATCAGACCGGTATGTCTAATAATTTTCATATATTGGTTTGATTTTCTTTCTCTTTAGCACAAACTTTATAATCCTGTAAAAGTCAAAAAAGTCTGTTAACAGTAAATTTGGGGTTTAAGTTTGAGGATTCTGTCTCGCGTGTGTCTGAACACGATCACGCACAAGTTTTGATTACTCTGCCTGCCTGCGGTGATATCAGACCCAGGTCTGAGAGACCAGATAACGTTTCAGGTCATGTAATGAGGGACTGCGCAGAAGAGCTTAAAGACATCTTCCCTGAGCCGGGCTGTTGTTCCTGCGCGCTTCAAAACCGCCACCAGCATAACTGTGCTCAGGAAGTCCACATCCACCTCCGTCAATGACCACGGCCCCATCGCAGTCACCCTTATTATCATGAAGTGCTTCAAACAGCAAGTCTCCAATAAAATCTTGGACCCAGAGTTTACTGCCAACAAAACACGAAAAAAAAAACGGTCATGGAGCTCTGAACTGTCCCTGAACGTTCGGCACCACCATCGAAAATATCTGCGTTCTTCATAAAGACGGTAGGTAGGGATGCGGACACCGAACATTCTCTTGTGAATGCTAGCTTAAGGATCTCTCCCAGAAAACTGGTTCCTGATCTTCCCTATTGAGAGACCTCGAGCAGTATGGTCGTCAAAAACACCTGGAGTTAGTGTTTGGCGGTATGATGGTTTAAACGGTGTGACGGTATAAAACTGTAGAAATTTCACTGTTTATACTGGAAAGAGAGAGAGCAGATGTCTGCTGCGTTTCTCTGAGTCAGTGTGGAGTTGTCTGTGCTTGCTAACAGGAAAGACGGATAGTGTCCGTTTGGGTGCGTTTCCGTATATTCACAAGCGTGTCGTGCGGAGTTTGTTCACTCTGTTTGATTGGTCAGGTTTGGGTGCGCTCTCCATAATCACCAGCATGTCCAGCAGACTGCTTGGCATAGTTTCAATGAAGAAGAAACAGCTTCACTGGTGGTGGTCATGGTGGAAGCGGAGATTAGTAGCGATACCGAGCAAACAGAAGCAGCCAGACCCACCCAACATGAGGAAGAGGAGGAGGAACTTGTTCCGAAAAAGAGCGCAAGTCGTGACATCAGTTGTTCCGACAATGATCAAAAAACGAAACTATGTGAAGAGTGTGGTTTTGTTTGTATTTGTATAAAAACTTTGAAAAAATTAAGTTTGATGACGGTTCGACTCTCTCGTCTCCGACAACAATTAGTAGACAAACTACAGGAAGGAGGTCAGCCATCAGTCCATGTGGAGCACCAATAACAATCTCCGTCGTACCTGGACAAGACGAGGCCACACCCAACTCTGCCCACTGACCATTAGGACTGGGCGATCATATGATCGTGATCGATGATCGCGATAAATTTCAGTTCGATCATGGTGATCAGCTGTGAGCATATTTACTCGGTCAAACATGGCGGAAACGTGCGTCACAACAGCAAATCAAAGTCGAGCTTTTCCTGCTCAGTTCTTTAAGTTACCGGAGAAGTAAACAGAATGACCGAACATGGAGCTAAACGCGGAGCTGAGGGCAGCAAGATAGATATCAGCCGTGACTTTGAGTCATCCTCAGAAGATGTTATATTTGAGAAGTTATTCAACGTCTCTCCAAAGTGACGTCGAGCAATTAAGCCGATAAACCGGCAACATAACAAATCAGTTCTTCCCGAGTGATTATGCTGGAAGCATGAAAATGCGAGCGGAATCTGCACAGCCTGTCACTTCTGACGGCACGAGTAGCATTAGCAGTTTAGCCAGAACTAGCGGTGCAGCCACAGACCAAAACAGCAATCAATCATATCCATACCTGCCAACACTCCCGTTTATCCCGAGACTCTACCGTATTTCAGACCTATCTCCCGCCCACCCCCCGTATTGTCATTTCTCCCGGGAATTTCTCGTAGCATGGTCCGCATTCATTCATGAATCAGGTCACTATATTTGTCCAAAGTTTCCAGGTTTCCAGACAACCGGAGATTGTTCTTTGTTTCTGCTGAGCCTCAAAGACACTGGATTGATACTTTTACTTCACAGTTTTGGATGACTCAGGTCGGTTTCAGCTGTAAACTGTATTTAAGCAGTGTTTGTTGGAAAATGAACACTTCAATGAAAGGAAAACAAATGTGAGATATGCGAGAGTGATGCGTTCAGGGCAGCCCCGGATAAAAGAGTGCTGTATTTAATTCACAGATGTTCAGAGAGCCTCATACGGGAGAGCATGTAAAACATATGAGGACTTTAACACTGATAGTACTGGACTAAATAAGTTCAGGGCATATCGTACCTTTTATCTTTTTATGACCATTTGTTATTGTTAAAACAAAACCAAAGTGTGCAGCTTCACTTATACTTATTTGGATGAGCAATTTAATTACAAATACTCTCATAATTAGCTCATATCCACCATATGAGGTCACCCCAAAACTGCCCAGCGTGCGCCGCAAAGAACTCCTGGATTTTATAACCCAAATGTTGGCAGGTATGTGTATCATCTACGTTTACATCACCTAATGTTTACATTTTAAAGCATCTTCAGTATCCCTTAGGGGGCAATTTGTTTATTTTGGGCCTTGCATACCTGCAAAAACACTCAGGACTGTAAACTAATTCTCTGTATTACTTAGTATTTATCTACATTTGTTGTTCTGTTGAGTTAAAATGTCTTTGATTTTTGTAAGTGTATCTTATTGAATTTGCTTTGTTTTTTACTTTGTATGTTAATAAAATGTTGAACTAATCTCTAGTTTTTTTTAGTTTTTGGTACAGATGCTTTAAAACTAGCAGTTAAAAAAAAAATCGTGATAATAATCGAGATCGGACGATATGACAAAATAAATCGTGATCATTTTTTTTGCCAAATCGCCCAGGCCTACTGACTATATATGGTGCCGCTGTGGACAAAGCGGAACCCCCTCCCCAGACAACCTGTTTAGCCTCCCACCTTCTAGGAGATGGTCCCAGCGCCGAGGGGTTAATAATCGTCAGAGGGCAGAGTCAACAACAGCCCCCCAGATAAGGATTTAAACAGACTCAGTGTCTTTTATTTTGAGTTTATAAAGTTTTTAAATGTTTTCACCGAGCGACTCTCACCAGAGGAACCAGAGGAATGCTAACGGCGCTAACGAGCCGTTTTAGAGGAACGAAAGCAGAAAATCAGTTGGAAGGATGGAAGGACGGATGGATGGATGAATGGGTGGATGGATGGATGGATGGATTCGTTTGTTGTTATTTGTTCATTGTTGTTATTTGTTCGTTTTGCTGTAATTCGTTCGTTGTTGTTATTCGTCCGTTATGCCTTTATTTGTTCGTTATGTTATTTGTTCATTAGTTTTACATTCATTTTTGTCTCCTTTTTCCATCTTTCCTTTCAGCCTTTTTTAAACTTTTTTCTTTCTTTAAACATCCGTCCATCCCTCTTTTAATCCTTTTTTTATTTTTTCCTCCAGGTGCGGCGGTGTAAAGCTCCTCCCCTCACAACGTACTTAGACGGCTGTGTGGGCAATTCCCTGGAGTTCTGGTCTATTTTCTGCCTAGCAACAGCCTGGATGGTCAAACCTGATTGGATTAGAATTCTTAGATCAACAGAGGAAAAAAAAACGTGTTCCACGGCAATGTAAACGTCCTCCCGGTAAATCCTGAGAGGACTGTAGTTCCAGTGTTACTCAGTTACCCAGAATTTCTTTGTTCTTTGACATGTAAAGGTGCTGTGCCACAATTTAACCATCAATGTACCTGAAACCAAGTGACACCAACATGACTTAATTTCCCATCAGTCCCTGCTCTTCCCTCACTTCCTGGTCACTGATTTAGAGTTAAAAAAAAAAAGACATTGTGCCAAAGATTCACGCACACACCTTCAAACGTCACACTAAAACTCCCCGCAGACGTCGGCGTGTTCTGTATCTGTGATGCTAAAGTTAGCCTGAATAGCCTGCTAGCTTATTTATATCATTCAAGCTTCTGTCTGTTATTCGTGAATGTCTCGCTCACGCTCAGTGTGGACGTCTCCAAATATCTTTGAAGTTTTGTAAAATCCTTTTTCTAAAAGCCCTGTTAGCTTGGAGGCTAATGTTTGTTAGCACACTACGTAACACCGTTAATATGATGTCGACTTTTGAGTGCGCTAATAAATTCTGACGAGCTAACGTTTTTTAAGAAACAGACTTGCATGTTAATGACTTTGTTAGCATGCTAAGACATTTCTCAGGGCTAATACTGAAGAGTGCTACGAAAACACTAGCGTGCTAAAAGCTATTAAACAATTAAACACAAACCATTAGCGTACGAACATGCTATCAAACACAGAAACAAATCGAGAAAATGAAAAATCCCTGAATTTATGGGAGATCATGGAGGATGTTTTTCTCTTCAAATAACGATTTCACTGATCAGAGATTTAAAAGAGCGAAAAACAAAAATTTTCTGAATGTCTTTAAAAAAATCGTCACGTTTTTTTGTCACAGTCTCCGTCGGCTGTTAAATCAGTTTACAATCCTCCTCCCAGCCTCCATGAGTTCTGACTGTTTGCTTCGTTAATACCGTTTACAACACAACTGTCTGTGGTGCTCCGAAAATTTTAAAAAAATTACATTTTTATTTCAATAAAGCACAAGATGGGAAAAGAGAGAGATGAGAAAAAGAGATAAGATTTATTCAAAGTTAGAGTCACAGCTGCTCCGAAAATAAAAACAAACTTTTATTCAAACAATCTGAAGCACAGAGAAAATTAAATAGAGGAAAGTGTTGAATTAAAGCAGAAACCCGATTTTTATTATTACAGGTTAAATTACAATTATTATAATTATATATTATTACAGGTTATTTTTTATCAGGACTGGACAGGTGTGTGAAAATCTGTTTACATTGAATAAAATAAAATCTTAGAAATGTCAAAAACAGAAATGAAATTATTTAAACACAAATGAGTTTTTGAAGCTAAATTTCTTTAAATGACATAAAACTTAAATCAACATTAATTCATTAAATTTAAACCTTCTGTCTGTTTGTACTCTGCGCTTGCACTAAAACTTTTTTTTAAAGCTAAAATTTAGCTTAAATCTGTGCTGAGGAGTTTCAGAGGGAAGTTTACTAACAGTTTTTGTCGAGATGATATGCCGACATTTATAAAAAAAATTTGACTTTCTCTGTCAAACAAACTGAAGCAGTAGAGCTCATGAAGGACTGAAAGTAAATAAAAAATAAGTAAATATGATAATTTTTGTGAAGTGGACAGTTCAGTAATCCCTGTAAGATCGCCAACGTTTAAACCTTTTTGAATTTTGAACAGAAATCAGAAACTCAAATTAATTGAAGTGACGGATCATGAATTTAACTTATTTAACTTAATGAATGTTTGCCAACGTTATGTTTATTTCAAATATCAGCTGATTATTTCTGTCATGGTTGTTTTCAGCCATCTGAAAAAGACAAAAAAAACATCAAACTGCGAATTTTATTGAGGTGAAAAGAACTGAGGGAAACTTCAATAAGTAGAGTTCATTCCAGAAGAAAAACTTTAAGAATAAACTTAAATTAGTAAAAACAAACTTAAAGAATAAACTTACATTCAGTGAATAAACTTAAATTAGTAAAAACAAACTTAGAAGAATAAACTTAAATTATTTTAAGTTTATACAAACTTTCTTAGGTCTCTCTTGTTTTGTACAAACTGATGTTTTTTGTCAGATTTTTGCATCACAGACCGTCGGATCCCAGGAAACCTGAAGCTCCAGATTTTAGACTGAATGTGTTTTTTTATTTTGAGTGAAAATGAAGGTTTAAGTGAAAATGAAGGTTGTTCTGAAAATAAAGGTTTTAGTGAAACAGTATTGGAGTTTAAGTTTATACAGGAAAGGTTTGAAGGATTCCAATGTTTGACTCTTTGTGCACCTTTCAACCCCACACAGCGACATCCTGTTCACCATATTTATCACTAAATAAAATCATATTTCTGCCAGAGTTATAAAAATAACATTTTATTTCTTTATAGCATAGAGCCGAAGGTCTTCACAAAGTTAATTTTCATTATTTTATAGAAATATGTAAAGCTTATTACTGCACAGCTGCTTCACTTTCAGGTTTCTTTTTTTAATGCTTTAATAGTCCAACATGTTCACATAGTTTGTGTTTTTGCTACTTTTTAATTTTTTTTTTATGTTTTTAAATTTGATTTGCTCTGAACCAGTTTGACTGATGAAAGTTAAATTTGTGTTTTTGATGCACTGATTAAACTCCTTAACGCTGAGACCATGAAAAGCTGTGCACAATTATTATTATTATTATTTTTTTCATTATTATTATTATTAATGTTGTTGCTGTTGTTGTTATTATTATTACTATTATTACAATCCAGTTTCATTTGGCCTTTGTTTTTTTCCTTTTACAAAATTTAAAAGTGTTGGAGTTTGTTTTTGTTACTGTATAATTTTTTGGGCATACATATATTTATATATATTTTACTTAAAGCTGTTTTTTTTTGTTTTGTTTTTTATTTTGTCTGAATTTTTCTTCAGGTTTGGTGTCGATGCAGAAAAAAATCTGTTTTTCTCCTGAAGAGTCAAAAATACAAAAACTTGAAACAGAGAATTTCCTCTGAAAACCAAATCAGTCTGTTTACATTTTTCTTTATTTTCTCTCTGTTTATTTCACTGTTTGTTTTCTGTCTGTTCTGTTTATGTAGTTTGAGTTTATTTTTCTGGTTTTAGGATATGAGCGAGAGAGAGGTTTTTGTCTGATTCTCAGTTTCTCATTTTAACTCAAAATTAAAATTAAATCTGAATATTTAAAATTCTTTAGGTTGTTTCTGGGAAATCATGTCCAAGGTCAGGATGTCTCAGTAAGCTGAAACCAGCAAAATAGTTTAAAAATCTCATTTTGTTTTTTTGTTTGTTTTTTTTAAACAGTTTTTGAGTCGGATGGTTTGGAGATTTTCCATCTAGACTTAGTTTTCATATCAAATTCAGAACAATAAAAATCGGATTTAAACGTTTCTTCTGACAGAATAAGAACATAAAACAAAATCAGATTTATTCAGATTTGACAAACAGACACAAAGTTCAGGCCCAGGTCCTGGTCCAGGTCCAGGATCAGCTGTAGACCTGCCAACAGGGTCCAAAAGAAACCGAAAGTTACAGATTCAGATCGTATCCAAAGTGCCTTACTGTCGTTTCAGCTCTGATGGTCCGTTAACCTGCAGTTTGATGGATCTGAAGTGTTAAAGTGTCCAAGTGTTAAATGTGGACGGAGACAGTGAGCAGGTAAAGAAACAAAGTCAATAAATGAAGAAATAAATAAATAAATGATTCTTTTTTTCTGTGTTCTTATTAAAAAAGTATTTCCGCAGTATTTCCTCACTTCACTTTTGTTATTTTTCTACTTTTTAAAAATATGTTTGTGATTTCTGCATGTTGTTAATTAAAGGCTCATTTCACCATTTCTGTGTCACTGAGTCTGTTTTTGTTTCTAGAGAAAGAGGAGTGAATAAATCCGTCTTCAGACAGAAACATGTTTAAAAATGTTTCCTTCAGTTCAGCTGAGTGCCACCAGAGGGCAGCAAAGACCTTAAAAAAAACTAAAAACAGCAACGAGCACCTGAGTGGAAGAAGGTGTGTGTCACTGTAGATGGATGGATGGTTGAATCAATAACTGATGGATGGATAGATGGATATAACAGCGGTCTGTTGTGGGTTTGAAGGTTGGAGGAAAGCTCAGCTGATCTCAGTTTGAGGTTCTGGTTCTGATCCGTCTGTAATTTGCTGTCAGGAAAAAACCTTGTGTCTCCAAAATCTCCAAAAATATTAAAAGATTAAAAACTGATTTTTTACAGCATCAGACATAAAGAAGTTCTTAAAAACATTTCCATAGGTGGAGATGTTGGAGGTCTCACTGAGACTGAAATAAAAAATATATATATATGATGATCTTTCGGGACTCAGGACTTTGTATTTTCATAAATGAATGTCAAACCCCCTCCATTTAAAAAAAAGCTTACATACACACATCATCATCGTTTTCAAATAAAATCCAAACAAAACTACATAAATGTGTTATTGACCGCAGTTATAATCGTGTCAGACCTGGAGTTGGTCATATTTGCCAAAAGTTCATTGTTTGGACCGATAAAGAGGTGGAAGAGCTTCTCGGCATCATTTTGGAGAATAAAGTCGATAAGACACAAGAAAGGTGGAGGAAGGTGGAGAATAACCGACAGTAAATCTCTCCTTCACTAAAATATAAATTCTGTATTTATCTGTGCCGTTTACTGACGGACATAAACAAGAGCGCAGAGTAAATTATGTTTATTCTTAGTTGTCATGGACAATGGCTTTTGGGAATTTAAAACTCCAGTTCTCGATGTCCGCACACACAAACCCAAGTTTTCCAGAATCTCAGTTTTTAATCCTGTGGTTTCATGTGGATGGAAGGCGTATAATATTCATTTTAGCCCAAATACCCGTCTACATGTGGACAAGGCCTCTGACTCAAGGACCTTAGTATACAGTATCTGATTTTACCACTGTGGTCACTAGAGGGTGACACCTTCCCATAAACCAGCATGAATCATTCTGAGTTTCTTTCATAGCTTCAATAATAAAATGAACATTTTTACCTTCTAGACTTTAATCTGCTTTAATTATAAATAATTAGGTAATTCAAGTTTTATAATTTCTTACTGTGTTACTATGTCAACACTCAGACGCTAAATATGTGGTCGTCTCTGGGACCAGGACCCGCACCCTGCTGAAAACCTGAACCCAAAAACCAAAATCATAAAGTCAAAATCATAAAAGTTGCTTAAAACCTCCAGAACTGAGAGTTTAACTCCTGCCACAGAGAAAAAAACAACTCTCTGATCCCAGGGGACACTCTCAGACCAACATCTCCATCACCCCCTTTAAACCACCTGAGAGCGCAGCGCCTCCTGCAGCTGCTGCTGTGAAAGAACAGCGCGAAGGTCTGATGAGGAAGGTGTTCATGGATTTCCTCAGCTGATCCAATCAGACAGAAGACGTCAAACACTGTCTGCAGGACCTGGTGGTAGTTCCACTAAAATCGGACCACACTAAAGAAATCCTGGTCCTTAATTCAGAGGTTCACTGTCAGCAGACCTCAGGAGGCAGCGTCATCTTTTAATTTCTTTCTCTGTTACCTGCAGCACAGGTGTGAAGACTCTCCTCATCACAGATGTTTCAGGACAGGTGGCGCTCTACTGTGGGGATCAGTGTTTCATTAACATAAGGTAGAGCAGTCATCCAATAGCCAGAAGGTTGGCGGTTCGATTCCCGTCCGTCTGTTGTGTCCTTGGGTAAGACACTTAACCAACCCTCCTCCTATTGTGTTTGTCCTCCACTGGTGTGTGATTATGAGCGTGTGTGTCCTCCTCTGGTGTGCGATTGTGTGTGTGTGTGTGTGTGTGTGTGTGTGTGTGTGTGTGTGTGTGTGTGTGTGTGTGTGGTGGTCGGTGAGGCCGTAGGCGTAAACTGGCCGCCATGTTTCCATCAATTTACCCCGGGACAGCTGTGACTACGAAGGTAGTTTACCACCATGAGGGTGTGACTATGTGTGTGAATGAATGAATGAATGAATGATCCCATGTGCTTTGAGGGGTTTCAGATAAAGGAGATCAGATGCATTATTAATATTATTATTATTGGATCAGAAATGAAACTGTCAGGTATGTTCACTTCACCTGTCCAGCCTTCAGCTGCTGTCTGTGTGTCTGTTCACCTTCAGAGGGACAGACCTGATTAAAGGACCTGGATAGCGCTCCCTCTGGTCTCTGATGTGTAATAACAGTGGTCTCACCGTTACGCTCTGACAGCTCATCACATGACTAAAGACCTGCCCTCGCTGAAGTAAACAATAATCACTGAAATGAAGACAGTGGCGTGGATTTGATCGGAAACACTGACGCCTCCTCTGATTGCTTCAGAGGATCGTCTCCACCAATCAGGAGGATCTTCAACTTTGAGTTTTGACTCACTGAGCAGAAGTTCACAGATTTCAGCCGACAGCACAGACTGTCTTTGACGAGTCCACAGAGGAGGAGACCCGGGCTCCACATGGTGACGTTTGTAATGGCTCTGACTCTTTGTCCACGCCAAAGGCATGCTGGGAAATCAAATTTACAGCTCCCCCACTCCTCCATTCTCCCCCACCATGATCTGCACAGAGAGCCCTTCTTCATATCTCTCTGCTGTGAAGCTCTAAACCAAGGTGGAGCGCCGACTCTCTGTTGCCATAGAAACCAAAGAGGATCCTGTTTGAAGTGTGACACTCTGATTAAAGCTGAGATGATTCTGAATTTGACTGTGAGGAGGAGACAACACGAGCTGAGTTTAACTGAGGAGCGACACGAACAAAAACACGCCAACAACAACAACACTGACCTGCTGCTCAGCCAATCAGAGAGTAGGACAAGAATAGGAAGACCACACCCCAATCTGACTCAGAGGATGGCTGTGTCCGAAATGAATTCCTCAATCCCTAACCCCTAACCCCCATATGCGGTTTTACTATATAGGTGACTATGTAGTGAACTCAATCACCGGAGGTTTTGGACACTACATGGCATGGAACCATATGTTGGCTCGTTGATTTTCTGACCGCAAGACCACAGAGAACTCGTGTCAATGACTGCCTGTCTGAGACCCTGCTGTGCTCCACAGGCTCACCTCAGGGGTGTGTTCTGTCCCCTTTATTGCTCATGCTCTACACTAATGACTGTAAGAGTATGTTTGATTAGAGGTTCATCATAAAATTTGCTGATGATTCAGTGCTTGTAAGCCTTCTGCAGGATCATGAGAATGGACATGGTCCTGTCCTTGACTATTTTGTTAACTGGTGTAAGGATTCTTATCTGCATCTTAATGTGTCTAAAACCAAAGATATAATTCTAGATTTCAGAAAGAATCCACTTGTCAAAGCTTTAACCTTTATTAATGGCAAAGAGGTAGAGATTGTAAGCCAGTACAAGTATCTAGGCACCATCCTGGATGACAAACTTTCCTTTGAGACCAACTCAGATGCCATCTGCCGAAAGGCAAATCAGAGATTATTTTATCTGAGGAAACTGAGGTGTTTTAATGTCGACAACAAGCTTCTAAAAATCTTTTATACATCTTTTGTTAAAACAGCTGGGCATAATTGTTTATGAAAAGGCCAAAAAATATGCGAGCGTCCTGGTAAGACAGGGCGAACGCGAAAAGGGAGTTTTAACTTTGTCACTGCCCAACAAACGAGGTTTTTAAAAATCGCAGGGCGTTGATGATAATGGTGATAACACTCCTGCTGTAAAGGACACTGTTATTGACAGCCTCTCTGCGTGTAAACACATGTACACTGTGTGCACAATTATTAGGCAAGTGAGTATTTTGACCATATTATTATTTTCATGCATATTTTCCAACTTCAAGTTGTTTAAACCTGAATGCTTATTGGTTTTAAGCATATCAGGTGATGTGTATTTGTGTAACGAGGGAGGGTGTGGCCTAAGGAGATCAACACCCTATATCAAGGTGTGCATAATTATTAGGCAGCTTCTTTTCCTCAGGCAACATGGGCCAAAAAAGAGATTTAACTGACTCTCAAAAATTGTGAAAAGCCTTTCAGAGGGATGCAGCACTCTTCAAATTGCCAAGATATTGCGGCTTGATCACAGAACCATCAAACGTTTTGTTGCAAATAGTCAATAGGGTCGCAAGAAACGTGTTGAGAAGAAAAGACGCAAATTAACTGCCATAGATTTGAGAAGAATCAAACATGAAGCCACCAGGAACCCATTATCCTCCAGTGCTGTCATTTTCCAGAACTGCAACCTACCTGGAGTGTCCAGAAGTACAAGGTGTTCTGTGCTCAGAGACATGGCCAAGGTAAGGAAGGCTGAAACCTGACCACCACTGAACAAGACACACAAGTTGAAACGTCAAGACTGGGCCAAGAAATATCTCAAGACAGACTTTTCAAAGGTTTTATGGACTGATGAGATGAGAGTGACTCTTGACGGAACAGATGGATGGGCCCGTGGCTGGATCAGTAATGGGCACAGAGCTCCACTTCGACTCAGACACCAGCAAGGTGGAGGCGGGGTACTGGTATGGGCTGGTATTATTAAAGATGAGTTAGTTGGACCTTTTCGGGTTGAAGATGGACTCAAACTCAACTCCCAAACCTACTGCCAGTTTTTAGAAGACACTTTCTTCAAGCAGTGGTACAGGCAAAAGTCTGCATCTTTCAAGAAGACCATGATTTTTATGCAGGACAATGCTCCATCGCATGCATCGAAGTACTCCACTGCATGGCTAGCCAATAAAGGCCTTAGAGATGAAAGAATGATGACATGGCCCCCTTCCTCACCTGACCTAAACCCTATTGAGAACTTGTGGGCCCTTCTCAAACGGGAGATTTACAGTGAAGGAAGACAGTACACCTCTCTGAA